TCTCATTGGCACAAACACTCTCGATATCCTGTATGAAGGTTTCAAAGAAGGAACAACAATTTCATCAGACTGTGAGTATGCTTCGCTTGTCAGACATCTACAGAGCATCTACTTGGGCAAGGCACAACGAGATGGGAGAGTAGGCAGAGTGAAATTGCAGTCGAGGAGCACCATTGTCATTCTGGAAAGAAAATGGCAGTAAATGGCCGTGCCAGACATGTCCTCACTACTCTGGCGTTGTCGGCAGGATGATAATTGTTATTCTCTCTCTCTCCGTTTATTTATCACATATTTATTTGATTTATTTACTACTATTCATTTTAGAACCCTGACCCACTATTTTCTTTTATTCCACTTCTTCTTTTCCTTCACTCGGGTCTGGCTTTTTTGGTTCTTGTATTATTTTATCAGGTGTCATACTGACTTATTGTGAAAATCTTTTACCATGTTGACCCCATTCAGGACTTTTGGGGTGAAATATTTTGCACATATTCTTTCTTGAAACACCTTCTACGTACGGAGACATGAAGGTCCTGGACAGGGTCAGCTTTATTTCTCCTCAGGGCTCTTCCTGACCTTCCTTCTTTTCTTATTTGTCCTGTTTAAAGCTCTTTGTAAACTTTGTTTTCAAAGGTGCTACAGAAATGAAGCCAGTTGCTGTTGCTGCTGTTTATCAGTTTGACATGTTGTCAGTTAGTTTGGAGCCAACGTTCCCTTAACACTCAGTAAACTTTAAATAAGTTGTCTCAAAATAATTGAAATGTCTCAAAAACCCTAAAAAAAAAAAACGTTGTCAAGAACAACTTACAGCTGGTGACAAATGACAGACATGATGACAGGACTTCATGTTGCAGTGAAACACTCGGAGCCTGTTTGGAGCTCAGAGGGTTAAAACGTGAGGTTTGCTGTTTGTGGATTCACCTTCCTGGTTTTAATCGGCCTCAGAACAACAAGGAGAACGTTCTGTGAGCAACACGTGTGTTAATGAGCTTCAGATGTTCTGGACAATCTGCAGCTGTTACTGATCTTCTCTGATACGTTCACTTTGTTCACAAACCTGAGGTGCGACATGAAGCTGCAGCTTTAATCCTGCTGACGAACGAACCGTGAGTCAGAGCGTCGACGGACCGGATCGGCTGCACTGCTTCACACAAACCTGGACCTTCATAATAATAGTGTTAATATGAACTGACAGTCAGCTCTCTGCATTCGTTGATTTTAAAAAGATTTTAGCTGATTTTAATACAAAACATCTGTAATTTCACGGCCACTCACTGAATTATAATTTTATTAGATATAACACATAATGAACAAGACAGGGAACATGTGAAGACTGTTTTATAAAATCGGGATTATTTTAGTCCTCAATATACATAATTTGTTTTTCAAAAAACAGCAAAACATGTAAAATAATTAGAATAATTTCTTGCTGATTTTAATACAGAGACATATGCTTAACTTAATGGCCAAACATCCTAAAAATACCGTTTTTCAGTATGGATGTCAGACGGTTGTGATCTGTTGCTGGACAGTTAACTAGTTAACTAGTTGATTTTACTACTACTACTTATATATAAGTTATCAAAACCAGGCACATCTTTAAAATGACAATAAACTGTCTGAGAAATCACGCTGACAAACGGTTTTAAATGTTGTTTTTTTACAGTGTAATTTACAGAAATCTGTTGATTTCAACTTCAGCATAAAAAGTCTCCTCGTACACGTGAACATGCTGGAAACTGCTGCAGAGGAAAAGCTGACTGCTGTGGTTTGGGTGAAGTCTGATTTCATTCGAGGTCGTCTGAACTCATAAAGATTAATTGAAACTGTTGTGTTAAAGTCTCTGTTGAGCCTGAACAGGGATTTTTACGGTTCGCTGGAGGAGGTTTGGGTGTTTCTGAGGAATCTGAGGATTTCTGCAGCACATCTGGCGCTGAGGTGGGAAACATGAGGCAGTCTGATGGCTGTAAACATGTGGAAGAGGGAGAACCCAGCAGCAGAACGTGGAACTGTTCCTTTATCTGTTATGAAACTGTCATTGCACAACACTGACACTGTCTGCTGCCATCTGAGGGGAAAGTTTACGGATCTGATCCTGAAGCTTCAGTCTGGACGAAGCAAAGGAGACGCATCAGCCAGCACTCAGCAGCTCTAGCCAACACTAACTAACACTAACCCTAACTAACAGCAGCTCTA